GTGTTATCTTGTTAAATCACTTTGTCTATTTTTTGTGTTGAGGAAAAGGATAGGCGTTTCTTTCTTTATTTTTTGAGTATTTTAATTTGTGGGATACTATTTTACGGGGTAGGATGGCTTGAATAACTGTTGGTGTCTGTTCAATAGTCTCATGTCAGTTAACAACCAGTTTATTGGTCGTGATATTACAATTTTCGAAGTTAATTTGACTAGCTGTGATTTAGATGTTCCTTTTATTTTGTTTTGTGCCGTGTCCGAAGCGAAATAAAGTAGCGATATACGTCGAAGTTTGCTGGGGACACGGTGTCATGATATTTATTAGAGTTTTGAAGAGGAATGTAAAGATCCTCCGTTTTTGATTTTAATCGAGTGCAGGGTCAATTTTTCAATGATGTGATGCGTTAAAGTACGGTAAATAGCTTGTCTTTATGAAATACTGACGCGGAAATACTGGCTGACTCTTATTATTAATGTGTTTAAACTAGTCGGCGGAGTAGTTGTTCAATTTAGTTTTATTTTTTTTTCGTTTTCTGTATCTGACGCGAACTTGAAGTAGCGGTAACGTCGACACTCGTCGAAGATATGTATTATGAGTGTGGGTGTGACTCGAGGATTGGGAGAGAGAGAGAGTCAGCCAGCAAGTCAGTCAGTCAGTACTTCCGATATTTTTTCTACTTTAATAATATGATAAATTCTTGATGTTTTTGCGCTGCGTTGTAGCTCTTAAGGGGATAATTTAATTAGATACGTTAGTGGCGGATGGCAATTGATCGGTTTTAATTGTTAGATTGAGATTATTTAATTTTGTTCTTCTCGGGTAATAATGATTTATTTGATTTTATGTATTTTGTTGTTTATGTCGAATATGGAACTTGGGTAACAGAGATGTTGGGATGTGCTAATATAAAATTTGTATGTGATTGTCGATATAAGAGAATTATATGTTTATTTCATACTTTATTTTCTTTTTGTTGTTATTTTTGTTTGTCCTCTTTCTTTTTGCATTGAATGTACTTAAATGTGGCTTGGCGGGTGCATGGTATTGTAAATGTGACCGGTTTGTTGAGCTGAAGTGAGAACATTTCTCTTTCTCTCTCTTTTTCTCTGTCAGAATTGCTCAATTTGAATTGAGCGCGGAAAGAGGAGGTTAGATATCGTCCGAGTCGGGGCTGTGAGTTGAATTATCATGGACTGCGGTGACACTTATAATGGTGGATGCGAGTGTTTGACGTATTGAGGTTAGGAGTGACGAGTGAGTTGTTGGTTTGATGATAGTTTTGATAATGATGTTTATGTCGTCTTTGTTGGTGGTTATGAGATTGACGATCGTAGAAATTGAGTATGAAGTGTTAGTAGGAGATCTGTGTTTCGTAGTGTTGGGTAATGGATAGTGGACAGCAGAGAGAAGTCGATGAAAAAGGTTCTATGGGAGGAAGGAACAAGAGGTTATGTGTAACGATGGAACTTGAATGGTTCAGAATCAGTCAGATGGTGAGTAATTATCAATTTTGCTGGGTGTACTGGAGTATGGCTAATATTTTGATCGAGAGGATATGAAATGGAGAGAGGTGAGAGGAAATGTTTTAAAGTTTTTGAGATGATGGTTAAGGGTTGATGACACGGAAGTGAGTCTTATGCATTTATTTATAGATAAGAGGGAGGAATTTTCAGGAAACGGGGAAGAGAGAGAAGCTGTTGGAGATAATTGTATGATGGAATAGTTTAAACACCTGATTGGTTTGCTCTAGACAATGATGGGAAACGTGATTGATCTGGAAAGATGCTGTTTGAGTAAGTTGAACGATGAATAATATTTATATT